AAAACTGTTTATAGCACAGTGAATACATAGTTAATTCATTCATAATTACTTCTTTTAGTATGGTAGCACTAGCAGTTCCATCTGGTATCTGCATTTCAGAAATTTTCTGAATTTTTGAGGAAACAAATGAATAATCAAATATTTTGCCAAAAATTATTCTATACTTGATCATTATAAATAGTGGAAAGTGTGCACAAATACAGTGGTAAAGTTCATGCAAAATTCCTGTCACTGCTCTTCTAGTAACCTCATAATGTACACCTGTTTTTAGGAAAAATTATGGCTACATTTAATCCAGTAAAAAAGGGGAGAACGCAACAAAAGACTTTGCAATTCTGTGTATACATATGCTTTGATAGAGTGACACACAGTTATTGCAGGAACATCACTGCATATTTATTACCATTCTGGCTCCATCTGCCTCATGTTTCAACCAGTGAAACATTAAGAAATATCTGAATGTATGGATTTCTAGCATATCTTTGTAAAATCTAAAACCTTGTATTGCTAGGAATCTTCCTGCTGGTTATCAGTGGTCTCCTCAATTTGCCAGCTGCGGCCTCTGTAATTTACAGTACACCTCAACCCAGCTGGCCAGGGTGGTGTAAATTCAAACCTCTGTATTCAGTTTATGTGCTTTAATTCCTGCTATTGTTTTCAGAAGTTTCCACCAAGGGTGTGCTGTGCTTTGCTTTGAGAACACAGTGCTCCATTCATCAACTTTAATTTTTTTTTTTATATACTACTAACAATATGGACAGAGAGAAAAAATCAAACTGTTTAAATTCCATATAAAGTATAATTTAGTCAGACTTTGGACTCCTCAGTCTGAGAATTATTCAAATTGCCCACTCTCAAGCACCGTCTATCCCCTAGTGGCACCTAAAATGAATAATTTTGGGCAACTAATTTCCCCCAGTGTCTGGGCATAAATTCTGCGGAAGCCTAGAAGCACCATGGCTTAAGCAGACAGGCATGTAACTCCCACCCAAGTTTCATTATGACTTCAAGATGTGTGTAGAGGTGCCTGAATGTTGTCCATGTCCCTGGAGGTGCCTAAGCCATAGACTGTGCTTAAATCACACATAGTAAGCTTGGACAGCATTGAAGCTGACACAAACCACAGTAGTCATGAGCGTTTTGAGTGTAGAAGAGGAAGAGAGAATATTTTTAATAGCCTTAAAGGTTTGTTTGTGCAGTCATCTGGGAAGCTGTCTGATTTGGATTGTCCTAATCTAAGGAAATTTAACAAGAATGAGAGAACTTGACTGTTGTACCACTGAAAAGGGTATTTCCTTTTCACAAAAATCTCAGAGCTGTGTTTTTGCTCTCCAGTCTGATTATGTAATTTGGTTCAGATACTGTTGTCCAAAAAAGTCCAAAAAGGCATCTGGTGGAGGGATCAGATGCCCAGAATACCCTGGGCATCTGCTTTTCTGTGTTAATTTGTAAGTTCTTTCTTCTTGTCTTTATGGATGAATTTGCACGCTTACTAGTTGCTACCCGTGTTTCTGTAACATTAGAACTTGCTTAAGACCTGTCATCTCTCTTACTTCTTTTGGTGTAGACACCATGATGTGCTACCCGAAGTTCATGTTCTGTTTGTGCTGTGTGTACATCTGTAGACTTCAAAAGGAGCTTGGTATAGGTTTCCTTCACCCTTTTTCTCTTTCCTTTTCCTGTTGTTCTTTCCCTGTGCCACGTGGAAAGGGTAAATACTTATTGATGGAGTACTTGTTCAGTTGTAGACATGTGAAGCAACTTGCATTTGTATTTTTCATTAACACTTAATGCTGTTTATTTTTTGTTTTCATCCTGTACATAACATCTTATTAGTTTTCTGAAGTTCTAAATGTTGGTAGATGTGATCAGGTGAAACAGTATATTAAACATTCAAAGGTTTTCTGAATTTCAAATTCAGTATTCTGTAAACTTTTGGCTTGGCTTTTCTCATGTTGCAATATGAGGTTTTATGTTCATGTTTCTGTTCCTGTTCATTTATTTTTCCCATCAAATGTCATTATATACTTATTGTTTAAAACACAGACATACTTTGCCTATCTTTGAGGAACTTTTAAATTAGCTTTACAGAGTAGAAGATACCATGGCAGTAATACTTAAATATCACTAAAGTATCTTACTAATCATCTGTACCCAAGTCACTTCAATGCTTAATGCATGCTTTTTTATTCTATTACACTCACTTTAAGCCATTCAGGGAGCAAGGGCGTAGGGGAAACTGTGTATGGTAGTAGATAGTATGCTAGTTTTCTGAGTATTTCATCCCATCATTTTGTTCCTTTTCATGCTCACCATTTGGCTGGAAGGGTTGAATGTTAAGTGTGTACTTTAAAGCAAGTTTTAATCACTGTTTGGTCACCAAGGAATGTTCATATCGGTAACAATGATAACTCTTCTCAAAATAAAGATACTGTTTCTATTATGTTTCTGGTATACAGTACTTGTATATCAAATTTGTGCTGCTTGTTGGCCAGACACTGGTAAAGGTTTGCCAAGGCATTGTGGAATAATCTCCATTCTTGAGACTTCCAAAACTCAGCTGGACGGGACTTAAAGTAGTTGGATATAATTTTCAGGTTGGCCCTGCTGTGAGCAGGGGGTTAGATCCATTGGTCTTCAGAGATACTTTCCTACCTAAGTTACCTTGTGAATCTAACTGATTTTATCCTTGGTCCAATTCTACTGAAACTCTCCCTCCTTTGTTGACCTCACTGAAATCAGCGTAATGCCATTAGGAATTAATTTGATCTCGTGTGCTTTTCTCATTACTCCCAATATGGTTTTCTTTGTCAGTTCAAAGGTAAGAGAAGTTAGAGTGAACTCCTCCCCTTTTTCATAATGCTGGCCCATACCTTAACATTTTGTTTCCTGAATGGTTTGATAAACAGTTAAGGAAGGTAGTTTTATACCATGTGTACTCACACAATCAAACTTATTTGAAAAAATTCTGAAGCAAACACAATTTCAGAAGACTTAATAGTCATACGTCTAGATGGCTCTGAAAATGTTAGAAAGGCTTACAGTAAAAAGCAATGAAGTGGTGGGTGTGTGTGTGTGTGTGTGTAGAAAAGAGTGCTACCATGTCCAAAAACTACTTCCATTTGTTTTCTAGACTTATCATACTAATCATGGTTTCCCCTCCTTTCATTTGAAGACTTCTTATCATTTCTCTTCCACAGTTGTCTGTCCTTTGTTTATTAATGTGAACTCCCCTGTGTCTCCCAATATGGAACTTAGCTGGGAAAGTTAATTGATTTTTTGAAAGCTAATCAGATGCTCCTGCAGTCAGATGTCCTGTCTAGTTTACAGTTGTAAACCTGAAGTGCCATCACCTTAGCTTGCCTGGGGTGCAGTAAATCATAGGGCTGATCCCATGTCCAGATAGTTTATTGTTCTGCAGAGACACATGTATTAATGAAGGTATTTTTTATAAATCATAAAACATATTCTTTATGCTATATTTAAAATACATAGTACAAAATAAAGATCTAAGTCCTGCCAAGCCTATTCACTTTTGCCTTGCCTTTTGACATTCAAACATCTATAGCTGTACAACATCATATGGGTCTACTAACAATGTGGGAGAGCAGCCAATTTGATCCTGGAATAAAAAAGGAATCAGCTGTGGGAAATAAGCCAAAGAAGTGTGATTCCCACATAAGGGACTTAAATAGGTGTTAGTCCATAAAGAAGCTCTTTAGCAGGATTTACAGCAGGCTTCTTTGCACAGGAGGCATTTTTCCTAAGATCCTAAGTTAAGTACAACAATTTTCAGGAGGGTTGTGGGGTTATTGTCTTGTTGGCTGTAATGCTGTGCTAATTCTTTCCCCCCGCCTTTGTTGTTGTTTTGTTTTGTTTTTAATAAAGCTTTATAACACATTACTGTGTAATTATATTCCCATTTACAGTTTTTTAGAACTAAGCCATTTACTTTGTGTGACCATGGGAAACAAATTTGAAGAAATTTTTCTGCTGCATGGGGTCCTCAGGTTTCTTAAACTCTACTCTGGGGAATGCTTTTTGCAGTATGGCTAGCTGGGCAATCCTGAAGTTTTCAGCAAATGACAATGTGAACACTTAAGGTACTCCAGTGTGTAGAGTTTGCATCTGTCATTTTCATTTGTCTCACCTCTGTCTTAGAAAAGAAATCATTTGAAATGCAGAGGCTTCAAATGAAAAAGCTGATTGCACCATCCTAACTTATTTAGTACAGAATTAGTGTATATTTAATGGTTACCAAAGTCTGTAGAGTTGAGGTAAACACTAATTTCATTTTTTGAGAAATACAAACTTTTCAAATAGTTTATAGAAGTGGTGTTACAGTGCATTCTGTGATATAGGTCAGACAGGTTTTTTTTAGAGACATTGATGTATCTTAGGTATGAAAAGAATAACAAAATCAAACAACAGCAAGTTTTTCAGTCTAAAATGCATTCCTTATTCTTTTTCGAGCTTGCTAAAGTCCAGCTGTTCCGATACTCATGATGTCCGAGTCATTGCCCATGGAGGTCACTGGATCAAATCCCTGCTCAAAGCAGGACCAACTTGAAAGCTAGATCAGGTTATTATGAGCCCTGTCCAGCTGTGTTTTGAAAGTCTCCAAGGATGGGGATTATTGCACAAATCCTCTACAAAACTTGTTCAAATATCCCAAGCAATAAATTGGGAAAACCAGTATTTTAAAATATGTTTGTGTGTGGCATTCATTTTGCAGCAGTTCTTTTAAGACTCCTATTTATATTAATCACAGATGTTAGAACAAAAATTAATGAATAAAATATTCAGTCATTTACTCATAAATAGACTGAATTGTACTTTGAGGAGAAGCACTTCTGAATGCTGAGGCCCGTGAATTTATATGACTGTGAGCAAGTGTTTGGCTTCTTGTTTTCACCAAGTATTATTTCTATTCATTCCTTTTAAGCAGTGCTTGTTTGTATAAGAATATCAAGAAATCTTTTTCCTCCCTCCTGTTGCAGGCGAGTATTTCCAAATGGGCTTCCTGAAGAATACTCTCTAGTTGCTGCATTTCGTGTACGGCGAAATACCAAGAAAGAACGTTGGTATATATGGCAAGTTTTAAATCAGTATGACACACCTGAGGTTAGAGTCATTTTTTATTTTTTTTTCAATAAATTTCTTTTTTTTCCCCCATATAATATGACACATTTAATAGTGGATGTTTCACTACTGGATTTAGCTTCAGTTTATAAGGAACAGACGGATTGCTCTGAAGTAATTGATGATTTCTTCTAGGAATGACAGAAATTTAGCAAAATCTATTCTGTTAAGACTGAAAAGTAGGATAAAATGCATGTTATGATTTATAGCTGATAAGTACTCACAAAGTTACATAGAAAAATGCTTCATAATTCTTGCCCAGTCTATATAGTTGAAGTATTTTTATTATATATAGTTTATGTATGTTCCTCTTTCTTATAAATTTTTAATGACCACTTCTTTTATTTTATTTTACTTTCAGATCTCTGTCCTTCTGGATGGTACAAAAAAAGTGGTGGAGTATATGACCAAATCCGCTCAGGGAAATATACTGCACTACACTTTTAAGAGTCGAGAAATTTATCCATTGTTTGATCGGCAGTGGCATAAGCTTGGTATTAGTGTGCAGTCAGGGATCATTTCACTCTATTTGGATTGTAATTTAATTGAGAGAAAGCAGACTGATGAAAAATTCACCATTGACTTGCAGGGAAGGACACTGATTGCTTCTCGTGCTGCAGATGATAAGCCTGTAGATGTGAGTAGTATTGGAAAAAAAGAGATAACTTGAAATCAAACCAGTCATTACTTTTGAGTGTGTATTTTTAATTTGAAGTCCTCAAGTCTTTCCTCAAAACAGTATTCAGTGCTGTAGCATCTGCTAAGGCAAACCTGTCACTTAAGTAACTACATAAAACTCAGTCCTGGTTTAAGGAGTCTGTTTTTCTGTATTTACTTTGCAGAATGAGCCCCCTAGTTACCGTGGACATATTATTACTGTGTTTAAAGATAACTTACAGTGGTAATCTTTTTCTTTCATTTTTGTGAGATTAATTTATAAGTTTGTATCAGTCATCTGTTACATGCTGTTTCTTTGACAGAAGGGAGACACAAAATAATTAAGGATTACCTGGGTATCAAGGTGTTTCGGGTTAATTCACCTATGTAGAAATAGGGGCATGTTGTTCATAGTTGCTACTTCTCTGTCCAAATGGGAGGAATTAGGATGTGGCTGGAGGTGTGTTTTCTGCAGTCTTAGATGCAAGAATTACCCAAGATAACCCCATAATATTCTGGGCTGTGTTCTATCCCAGAGATAATCTCTTCTGTTTCCTCATGCAGAGAGCTCACAGCAAATAATTTGTAATCTTCAGGAAATGTCAGTTTGTTAGAAGTACACTGACAACCAGCCACCAGGTTTAAAGCATCTGCCTTAGAGTTTATAGTGACCATCTGAAAACTTCAGCTATACTATGTACACTGTAGGGTTCCAGATGAAAATAGCACGTTGTAACTGCAAGCTAACATTGCAGGAGGAATCATTCTTGTGAGGCACTAAGCAATTTGGCCTGGACTTGGAGCTCGTATTTCATGGGGCCAAGCTCATGTTTAGTTTTATTTTCTAAGGCTTGAGTTCAACGTTGTTTGAAATGTGTGTACAATCTCCTCATTTCCAAATAGCATGAAGAAAGAGCAGATCTTTTTTGTTGGTTGCGTGGCACAAGCTGGATAATTCTGAGTGGAAGTTGTCTATTGGGATTTACACGTTTGCAGGAAAACATGGGCTTAAAGCTGATGAAGGCAGCAGAGTGGATCCTATATCAACAGTCACTCTTCCCAATACCAAGTGCAAGAGGGAAATGAAGAGGATATAAAACCAAAGCAGAAAGAGGCATAGGAAGACAAGATTAGCTAGTTAAATTTAGATGCTTTTCATTTCACCAATCCACCCAAAATCTCTGAAGTAAAGCTTTACATATAGAGTTTGTGATCTTTTGCTCTTCAGGTGATTTAGTGGCAATGTCCGGGCAAAGGTCTGTCCAAAGCAGAAGATGATGTGTGCAATAGAGAGCTTATCAAACCTTTACTCCAGTTCCCTGCAGAGGAAAATTACATTCCTGAAAAGGATGTTTACAGAGGATGCCTAGAGGGGTAAAATACCTGTGTAGCATAGCAAGACCAATACAGACAAATGCAACTTACATGAAAATAAATAAAATCTGAAATGTGATTTACATCAAGATAATAGACTGCATAATTTGCTCCTTAAATGAGGAGATGTGTAATTGTTTTGGATTTGTCTCTTTCTAGAATTTCAGAAATATGCAGTGTTTCAAAGAGAAAGTTTATTATGCCAAGATAAGAAAAAGCATGCTGTAGAACAGAATTGTTTACATCTCATAATAATTTCTTTTGTATTTCTTAATAGATTGAACTTCACCACATAGCAGTTTATTGTAATCCAAAACTTGCAACAGAAGACACATGTTGTGAAATATCTGCAGACTTGGTAAGTTGTCTGTTAAAATTAAAATGTTAATACAAAAGAAATTGCTTTGTTGTTTCTTGCTAAAAAGTTGTAAATAACTTTCAATAGAGGTGTTAGTTTAATTACCTTCTAAAAATTAATCCCATATCTAGAGCCATGGGACATAGTTTCTTGCTGCCTAACCAAATGGCACAGTGGGACATCAGTAAAAGGCACTAGGGGTGATTCATTTCTTAATGTTGATTTAATATCTAATTAGTAACTGAGGAAGCCTCAGAGAGTAGGGAACAAATCACTGAGGTGACTTGAGGATGGTTTCAAACAACAGAGGCAGTTTCAGTAACGGTTGCATTTTGTGAAGCATTACGGATGTAAGTGTAGAAGACCCTTCTGGAAGATGTTACTGCGAGGAGATTATGGGTTTTCGCTTAAGCAAGCTTTCCTGCCTGGAAAAAGGCATGTTTCCCACAGACAGTTTTAGATGTTTTCTCCTCCTGCATTCCAGAGGAGCTGAATCCCAGGCATAAGAGAAGATAAGTTCTTGCAGACCTGTCTGAAGGCCCTGCAGCAGGCAGGAGTGAGGGGAAGGGGGGCAAGGATAATAAAAGCCCTGAGAAGAAAGGGGGGGTGTCTTTCTTAAGCCTGTTGCAGATTTGTTAAATGTTCTCACCTTTGGAAATAAATTCTCCTGAATCCTTCCACTGCTTGGTATTTGGAGGTACTTGTGTGCATTTGACCTTTACACAGATGATGCAAACAAAGCCCACGGAGGAGTCTGCATGACAGTAGAAGGAAAATAGGAAGGCATTGGGCATTTTCTTTATTTCAGTACACTAAGATGAAGGAACGGGTGTTTCATAATTGGCAAGTTATAGTGCTAGATTGCTGGTTGGACTTCATGGTCTTAGAGGTATCTTCCAACCTTGATAATTTTAAGAAATACTTCCTTCTTTGTAACGCACGTGCTGAGATGTATATGTTGTTTAAGGGAAAATACTAATTTAGTTTAAATGGTTCACTTTTCCCTCTTGTTTTGATAGACAGAATCAGTGTAAACTGGAAGACACTAGAATTATAGAAATGCTTTAAGTTGAGCAAAACAGTTACACCTGCAATCTAGCCTATTTGAAAAAGAAAAAAAAAACACAAAAAAAACTCAGAAAGGAAAAATGTTAAAATATTGGTTGTACTAATTGTAAGTAGTTGGTAAGATCAGGCTCATCTGGGACAGTGGGGAGTACCATCACCACTGAGCCTGTAGTCAGCAAAAAACCCCCAGAGGATGCAGAAGGACTGATTGATTCCATTCAAAAAAAGAGATAGGAGAAAAGCATACCTGGAAAGGAGAGAGAAAGCTGCTCAAGAAGAGAGGAGCAGAACACTGTGGGAACTGACCACTGATGGGTGCTCAGAAGCATGGAAGAGACTGGATCTAATTTCTGGGGGAAATTTTAATTTTAAATAGTAATTTGTTGTTCAAATATATTTCTAAATATATTCCTGATAACAGTGCAGGCTTTCTCTTGAATGTATAAGCTCATGGAAAAGTGAAATGGATGAAATTTCTGTAGGTTCCACTTGGTGCGTGGAAATACAATTTATTTATCAGTTATGACACAGCAGCAAAAAAAGCACGAACAAAACAAACCCTAATCATATGAACACAAAAAGCTCAACAATAGGCTTTATTAATAACATCTTAAACATTGATTCAGCTATATAGCTAAAAACACCATCAGTTTCATTTGTATGTCTTACGTTTAAGATGTAAGAGATGGTGGGCTACTTGTTAATGACTTCCATATTGAAACCAGCATTACAATTTCTGATTTATTGTTTCATGACTTCCTTACCAGTTATAATGGCTACATTTTCAGTAATGGAAGGGAAGGAATTTATACTTAGATACAAATTTCTTCACTAAGTAGTAAATCCTGTGGGAATTTCTTTGACAGAAGGCTTGAAGGAAAACTCATTACATCTTAATGAGAGCTTCTGAAATTTATCAGGTTCTGTTGGCTTATCCTGTAGTATATCTTGAGGTTGGCTCAGTTCTCAGGAGTTGAAGACAGGTGAATATTGGCTTCAGGGCTTTTATGGTTTCTTTCCAAACTATGTATGTCTGAAGTATTTAATTAAAAAAAAATTATGGAATTTTCCTTTGCACTCACTCTTACATTTTGCATTTTGGGGTGGGGGGAAGGACAGGATGAGACTGAGAAGTACTGTCTTTTTTTTTCCCTATGGGCATTTTCTGTTTCACTACTTCTCATTTTGGGACATTTTATTGCTCTCTCTGGACTCTTTTGGAAGAAATTGGGACAGTCTTATCAGTTTTAACTGGCATTGACTTCAGAATAGAAGGATCAGAATATCTAGAATTCATTTTATTACATCTCTTTTCTCTGCTTGGCAATTGTTGTGGCTTTTCATATGGCGTGTACAGGAGTATTAAAACAGGAGGTTTTAATAAAACTAGTGTTTTGATCCTATTTATCTATTAACTAAAGTGGACCAAAAATCAGAAATCTTTTTATTTTAGTGCCCACGTGAGGAAAAGTTACTTGCTACAACCTTGTCACCAGCAACTGCTCATGCCAGCAAAATATACACGCTTCCAGGAATGCAGCAAGAATCTGGAGAGAGATGCCACTGCTTTCCAAACAAAGTATGAAGTTTTCCTATTGCTTTTTAGTGTATCATGCTGTTTAATCCTGCTAGGTATAAAGAATAGTGGCCTTTTCTTTTTTTTTTTTGTTATGAAAAAATCTTACGGGTTTGTAGTATTGTAATGTACTTACATTATATTTCCCAATTTAACAGCAGTAAATTTTAGATTTAGTTAATTTAGAGATGTCTATGTGGTTTGGCTGTTTGAATATACACCCAAAAAGTACCATGGTAAAAATGAGAATTATATTTAGGCATTATATTTAGTGTAAATGTTTTGATTTGAGAATAAATTATATTCTACATCTTTGTTTTCTTTTAATCCTTCTCCTGGGTGTTGCACTGTATTTATTGAGTCATTTGCTTTTATTAGGCTTTTGTGACAAAGACAGGAAACTGAACCAAATATATTTTAGATCTGCTTTATTGCCTTTTTTATTTCTTTAAAAATAAGGGAGAAGCAGGATTGCCAGGAGTATCTGGTTTGCCAGGCCAGAAAGGAGAAAAAGGAGAAAAGGTAAAATATCAGTTGAATTCTTTCTTTCAAATCTTTGTCTTTGGATTATCTTTCTTAAATAGTACTATATGTATTTTGTTAATCCTTAAAAGGAATTTCCCTATGCACAGTGCTTGGTTCTGCATGTGGGCTTCCTGCCAGGCAGCTTACAACTGTCTCACTTTGGGGTCACCTCATCAACTCTATGGAACACAGTTTACTGGTATGGGAAGCACATGCCTACCCAACTGTATCAGGGTGAATTTATGCTGATACTTTTGGTCTGTGTTTGGCCCAGAGAACTGTAAAAGTTTTGTTCTTTCCCTGCCAAGTTATAAGACAACAAGTATTGATAAACGGGTACCTTGTCCTTGGAGAGAGAGCTTCTTGTATAAACTGTTTTAATTGGTGTTCTGTGATTGGCTAATCATCCTCCAAGGTCGCTTGAAGGAGAGACTGAAGACTGTAGTGATGAAGGACACCCCCAGACTCATTTGGAAAAGACCCCTTGAGTGCAGTACGCAGGTGCAGGGAAAGCCACGCGTGCGCAGAGGAGATGCACTTACATAACCAGGGGGTGGGATGGAGGGCCTCTGGCTGGGCGGTGATGACCACTCCTGCCTAGGCTGAGGTCACTCAGTTAATTGTATAAAAGCAGATAGTGCTTTCTTGGAGGGGAGCTAGCTTTACCTCAAGGACAACGTTGCCTTTGGCAGGGACGCCTGCCAGTTTGTGAACTTGCTGACTCTCCAAGGATGCAGTTCTGCTATGGGTAATTAGGTAATGCTAGGCCGGTAAGATAACTTTATGGGCAACAGCTGGGTAACTGGGGAGGTCATGCTGGGGGCTTATTTCTCTCCTCCTTCCTCCCTTTTGGGTTTGTTAATTTTGTTGGCAAAATGTTGGTAGTAAATACTGGTTTTTGCTGAGCTTTCAATGGTGTCATGGTTTCAAGACTTCAGTATGCTCGAACCCCTCCCTTACACCAACCCTGCTAGCATTCCATATTGCCTGTTCCCCTTATCAAAAAATAAAAGAAGTCATGTATGTAGTCTAACAAGGATTTTTCCATTCATGTGTGTACATCACTGCTGATGGACAGAATCCTGTGTGGTGGATTCATCCTTGCAATCATCAGTAGGAGGGTATGAATTCACCAATATGCTCTCACTGTATTCTTTGACAACAGTCATACCTGAAACTTTGTTAATCATGAAGAGAGAGGGACCTGACATTGGCAAGTCCTTAGGAGTGGCCAGTCAGTGCTCCTTCCTTTGGGCCTATTCTGAATTTTTCTCTAACGCTTACCATGACATTCTTGTTTGTGTAGCTTGAGGATTTCTTAATAATAAAAGTCAGCATATCAGATGTTTTCCCTTCACACTCCATTCCCTAAATTTTTTTGGAGGATGCTGAATTAGGACATGTCTAGGAATGTGTTTTCCTTGTGCTAATAGAGGGGGCAACTTGAATAAACTATTGCAAATCACCCAGAAAGACAGGGGGATAGGAAATGAATTCAGGGAATGCAGTGTGAGAGGAAGATACTTAGAATCCACAGGTTAGGATGGAAGTGTCCTAACCCAGCATCCTACCTCACAGCACACCGTTAAATATGTGATCTGAAATAGTTTGTTAAGACAGGCAGCGCTGTTCCTAGGACTGCAGTACCTGGCTGAAAAGGATTCAGTTCTGGGAGGGCTTATCTACACAGTTGGTTGAAATTAAGTAAATTCCTTGACAGTATATTGCCCCCCCACAGCTGCTCCCCTCCAGTGCGTATTTCACTTTTGATACAAGCTGTATCTTTAGGTGGAAAAAAAAGTTAAGTCATATTAGTTTCTATAGTCCAGGTGAATCTAGAAGGATGGCTGTCAATGTTCAGAATTAATCACAAATTTTTGCTGATTCTATACACTTGCTGAGTGTATGGAACAATTGTCAAGTTTTAGTGTTAGCCTATGTTACCAATGTAGGGAGTTTCCTAGCATTTATTTGGAAAACTGCTCTTCTGTTCCTGACCTGATGCATTTAGGCTATTATTGCTACTAAGATGGGAAAGGAGACTTCTCAAGTCTGATTTCTTTACCATTTAGTCTCCCAGCCAATTAGCAGTATTTATCATGCTAAGCATAGTACCTCTAAATAAAGCATGTATGTACCTGTAATCACCTCTGGTTCTGTTCTCCCATTCATTTTACAAAGAAATCCTCATTGCATGGATTCAAAAACCACCCAAAAGTCAATGAACCCTGCTGCATTCAACATTTTAGCCTAAAGGTGGTATATTGACATTTATCAATGTCATTTCAAAAAATTGAATGAACCAGCAGGGTTAAGTCTGGAATAGTAGAGCAAACAGGTAGAAAGCTGCTTAATTTGAACCTTCCTTATAATTGACCTGTACTTGTCAGTTCCTAACTTTGCAGTGGGAGCTTTGCAGTGGGGTGTTTTGTGTTAAGAGGGGAAGGATGTCGGGTGTGGATGGAGGGCACATTACTGCTGTGATCAATAAGACTGGCTCACTGTTGACCTCTGGGAGCAAACAAATCCTTTGTTGAGTAGTGCCTACCATGATGGAGCTGACTGCAATATTCTCTGAGGTTTTAGTACCATTTTTGTTCCCCTCTGCATTTCTGCAGTTTTCGGTAACACTCACTCTCAATGATGGCCATGTTACATCAATAATTAGACCTGGAGAGGCAGACTCCAGAACATTCCAGACATGCAGGATACATGATTTATTTTCAGATTATGCAAAGGAAACTAACAAACTCTGGTTGGATGTTTTGTAATATGTTATACATTAAATAGGCAGCTTCTTGGTGACTTTGCCCAGTCACAAAAAAATGGGATTTCTGTAGGTTGTGTGTGGTTCTTAAACCTATGTTTCCCCCTTTGCTTGTGTTCAGCTTCTTATTTTATTTTCTTTTGCTTCCAAATCATATTACTATAGGCATCCAACTAACTATATATGTAAATTTATATTTACATATATTTATATGTCCTTGCAGTGGCAGTATCCAAGTGAAAATATAATTTTTTACCTTATTTTCTAGGAAATTTCTGTATCTATTGATATTATCTTTTTCAGCACAATAATCCCTATCCTTTTATTTTACTTTATCTCGTTCCAAATTTTCATTCACTGTAATTAATTGCATGACTGAATTTATGTGTCCTTTTTTGTTGCTATGAGATTGGCAAGAAAGTCTCTACATATACAAGTTGGTGTTAGGCTATATTCAAACCCCTCAAAATTGCCTTTCTCTTCAGTCTAACACAGTTTTTCCCTAAGGTCAGACTGTTCAGGAATATCTAAGCTATCACCAGGTACAAAGTACCTGATAATCCTTTTTCGGGCATGTTAAATATAATTATTAGCCTGTTTCCACTTTCTTCCTGTACTCTTGGCTCATCTTAGTGCCTCTGAACCTGGCTTTACATTATGGCTTCATGAGGACAGTTCTTCACTCAAAAATATTATCTCCAGTGCTTCAGGAGTAAAGTAGTCAGTTTGCTCTGTAGGATTTTATTAGCTGGGAGATCAGCTTCTGCAGCAAGGGGCCACCTCCTGTTCTTTAATTTCTGAATAATTAAAACTGAAAAAGTCATCTGGACAGACTTTGTTTGCTGATCTCTGCCCTTGAAACACAAGTTTGGACTGCTTGACAGCTTCTTCTCATGGGATGAAAGCTGAGACGCAACAGCAGTCGAGTACAATTCGGGCTATCCTTGCATAATATCCTATGTTATTCTCATGGCAGCTTGATTCTTAGCACAGTGTATTTCACAAGTTGCAAGTGGACACAAATCAGGTGGAAGTCTCCTGTGATTTAACACATTTTGATATCTGAGCTGTGAAGCTGAGTTTCCTCTTCTGCTGGGATGAGTGAGAAATTTACCATGTTTTCTGTTTTAGAAGAAATTTCTACTACTTCAGCATGGTATATAGCTATTCAGGGTCTTAAAAATATATTAGTTGTTAGCAAATGTATTTTGATAAAGATATGAAGGTTCTGTTTTGTCCTCAATATGTAGAAATTCCGCAGAAAGACAGAATATGGATCACTGTAATTGGAATGATTACATATACATTGAATATATAAACTGATTTTTCTCTCTCAAGGAGGCTAAAAAAGTAACTACGTTTTCTGTTTTTATTTCTTTTAAGCAAACTTAGTACCCACAAAAGATTTTAAACTGAAATCTGAACAGAATGAAATAGTTTGATATAACATTAAGCCATTCCAAGCTCTGTTAATAGGTCATTGGTTAATACTGTAAGTACAGTAGGGAACAAAAAGCCAGAGGCAGAGTGGTTTCAAATATTAAAATGGCTGTTGATGCATACCATAGAGAAGTTTATTGCTGTTCAACTTCACTAATTTAAATTTTACTCAAGGAAAAAGACATTAAAAAGCTATTTAAGGATTGGTAGAGGTAAGTTTATGCAATATATTATTGCCCTAGTAAAATATTTGTAATAGAACAATAAGCAAAAAGAACTCCTGGAGAACTCCTTTCCTGCTCCTCTGACTTTCCTCTTAAAACCCAATCCACCTGATTCTGCATATCTATTGTATTAGGTTGAGCATGGTTCCTTTCTGGTCCAGTTTTTGTTGCAGAGGTCCCTGATAGGGACTTAAAAGCTAAAATGCATGAAAAAGAAAAAAAAGAGGCAAAATATGGCTGGCTGTCAGTGATGATAAAGTCAGGAGCTGCCAGTGTACTTGGTAGACTAAAATTGTTAGAGTGAGCAGAAGAAAATGCTTCACGCTTACAAAGTAAGAATTTATGGATAGTCCTACTTATATTTTACCATCTAACAATCCAAGTTATCAAAGTAATAAGGAAAAGTACCATTACTAATGCAGCTTAATTTTTTTCTTATAAAAAATTCTGAAATGTATACTTTGTTTCCATGTAATTATATATGCTATTCCAGTATTCATCTGAGTCCTGAGGATTGCAGTTTAAGTCTTCCGGAGGGAGAAGTGGATATGGTGGCACCTCTCTGA